GTGAGGAGGCCTTGTTAACTATGAGCTTCGGTGTGACTCTCCTTTAGGGAACCCCCAGTGTGAGCGTCCTCCTGAGCTGGTCAAATTCTCCAGAGAACATTTTTCTAGCTTCTTTTTAGGAGAGTCTAATCCTTCCTGCCAGCATTCTGGAGTCTAAGCTGGGGGAAGAACCTGAGAGGAGGAGGCTGGGCAAGGCATCTCAGTTTTCCACATGTAAACTGTCTCTTAATCCCTCTGCTTTTGGGATGATGCCCTGTCTTGGGGATGATGCGTGGTGTTTCCCAATCCAGATAACCACCTGTTATCTCTACAGCTGCACCATCCAATACAGCAGCCTCTGCCACCTACAGCTGTTTAAATCTACATTAATTACATATTAATGAATACTTAATTAATCAATTAATTCAACTTTCAGGTCCTTAGTTGCACTAACCATATTTCAAGCGCTCAATAGCCACATGGAGCTAGTGGCCAGCTACTGTATTGGACAGTACATGACATTTCTGATATTGCCCAAAGTGCCATTGAACAGTGCTGCTTAGAACAGAGGTTGGCAATTTTTTTTCTGTACGAGGCCAGATAATAAATACTTTTGGCTTTGCATGCCATATGGTCACCATTACATCTACTCAACTGTGTCATTATAGTGTGAAAGCAGCCACAGACAATACAAGGAACACGCATTGGAATACGTGGGTGTGTTCCAACCAAACTTTGACACGGAAATGTGAATTTCAAAACATTTTCATGTGTCATAAAATGATTTTTCTTTTGATTTTTTTCCCGTTTGTGAATGTAAAACTCTTCTTAGCTTACAGGCTGTACATAAATGGGCAGCAGGCCAGATTTGGCCCTGGACCACAGCTTGCTGACCTCTGTCTTACGGCTTTGCCTTTAAAAAAAAAAAAAAGCTCTGTGCCATTATTATAGTAGATTCAGAAAGGAAGCAGAGGCTAAAGTGAGCAGTCTTTTTTTTTTTTTAACCTAGAAGTCTCATTATCTGTTCAGGGCCTGTCTTCGCCCTGCACCTTAAAATCCATGAGAGCACTGAGCCCCATCTCTCTTGCTCACTCTTCTCCAGCTAGCATCCAGCACAATGCTGGCTATGTAATAGGCTTAGTCAATAGAGCTGAATGATCAAATGCTCACCAAGCCACCTGCCTTGTATAATTTGACTTTCCACTTAGATCTGCCTTCTGGCAAGAATGTGCTGGCCATGCCGATGAGAGTACTCCAGTTTGCTTCACAATTACATTTCTTATTATCAGTGACTACATGGACATACCGGTTTTCCACATCAGTCCCATGAGCTTGGTAAACGTAATTTCACCTCTGAGAGAAGACATCAGCCCCTAAGCCTACGTAGAATCAAACAAATCTTGGTTCCAGAAGCGTACATCTCGACCGAATTTGATAAGAAGACTTGTAGAGAGGGGAGTGATCTAGCGGACGCAAGCACTTGGAGATTTTAAGTGCTGGGCTGACATTGCCTTCTCAGTAAGATAAGGAAGAGAAGGTTATAGAATGTTCACATTGCCATGACTCTAAGAGGATAATATGCCAAGGGCATTCATGGAAATCAATCGGATGGGGCAAAAGCCATAGGTTAGAGGAAAACTATCCATGCCCCCAAATTCCTAGCAGATAACAGGGGAAAACCATGACTTTGTAGGTATAACACCAAAGGCATGAGCCATGAAAGAAATCATTGATATGCCGGACTTTATTAAAATTAAAAACTTCTGTTCTGCAAAACATAATGGGAAGAGTATAAGAAGATAAGCTACATACAGACTGGGAGAAAATATTTGCAAAAGATAAAGGACTATTATCCAAAATATACGAAGAGCTCTTTTTTTTTAATTTTTTTAATTAAAAAATTTTTATTAGTTTCAGGTGTACAAAGCAATGTAATAGTTAGACATTTCAACCCCTCACAAAGTGATAACCCCCTCCCCCAATCTATTGCCTCTCTGACATTGTATATATTTATTACAATTCCATTGACTCTATTCCCTATGCTATATTCCATACCCTGTGACTATATATTTTTTAATTATAGTTGATATACAATATTATTCAGCTTCAGCTTCAGGTGTACAGCGCAGTGATCAAGCCTCTACACCGTCCATGAAGTGGTCTCCCTAAGAAGACATGTGCCCATCTGACACCCTACAAAATATTTACAACATTATTGATTATATTCCCCAAACTGTCTTTCTACAAAGAACTCTTAAAACTCAACAATAAGGAAACAAACAATCCGATTAAAAAATGGGTCAAAGACCTGAGCAGTCACCTCACCAAAGAAGATATAGAGATGGCAAACAGCATACGAAAAGATGTTTCACATCATCTGTCATCAGGGAAACGTAAACTAAACGTAAGGAGCTACCACTACGCAACTATCAGAACAGCCCAACTCCAAAACGCTGACAATGCCAAAAGCTGGGGAGGATGTGAAACAAAAGAAATTCTCATTCATTGTCAAATATGGTGTCTGAAGAAAGTACTTCTGTCCTACTTGGTGGGTTTTCACCTCCCAGTCTGCCCCACATCAGATCCTATGACTATAGATTCTCTGGTTAATTGATTACATTACCCGTTTTTATGCCATCAGTCTACCAGAGGTAAGAGAAATATGTGAAAGTGATGTAAGGTCCAATGAGATAGACAGATTTAACAAACGTGTACTAAGCCCAGCGACAGCTTGGGTATACGAGTATGGGACCTGGTCTTATCCACAGCTACATGAGGGATCAGTCCCCAAGACCAGGACTAGAATGAACTCCCAACTTCCAGCCCAGAACCGGTGGTTAAAACTTGTCTTTTCATCTGTTTCGTCTTCCATCTCAGAATCATAACTGCATTTGGCTCTGGACATAGAGAAAAGAGAGAGCCATTTGGGAGGTATTGAAACATTTCCTCCTGTGCAAATCGTTTCTTTGTGTGTTGGCAAGTCCAAGGTGTTCTAACAAAGGTCAAAAGTATTTATTTTCTTTAATACTCTCAGGATGAGAGTGAGACACAGACGAAGGGGAGCCAGAGCTGGGGAAAGAGAAAGCGGCGTGTTGCCAATTTTAATAGCTGAAAGGGCTTCTTTTTATCACAGGAAATGGTTGTCTTAGGGCACCGAAACAACCTCTGGTTTGCTATCAAAAACAGCAGAAATTACAAGGAAGGAATAGGAAGAAATCATTGGACAAACAGATGATGTGGTCAAGGCCATTGTCTATCTGGCCCTGCCCATCTCCCCAGCCTCCTCTCCCCCTGTTCCCCACCTCCATCTGACACTTGAGTTTTGCCAGTCTGCTGAGTTTCTGACCACTGAACTCCCTGTACTGTTCCCTCTGACTGGACTGCCTGACCCCAGTTTCTTGGCCTGCTGAGTCCTCCTTGAGGACTCAGATCAGGTGTCATGTCTTCACCATGCCCAGCTCTGCTTCTGTGCACCCATCACGTCTTCCTGTCTTTGCACTGATCAAGCTGTGTTGACATCGCCCAGATGTCCATCTGTCTCTCCCATTGGACTGGAGATCATCCACTGGACCCTTGGGCTCAGATCTGGCCTTCAGACAGAATCATGCTTTATTTGGCCTGCAGCACTTGGGCTCACATGGTGTTTTTAAAAATTTTTTTGCATTCATTGCCAAAAATTAAAAATCAAGAGATTTCACATAAAACTCCAGATTTCTGGCTTCCCTGAACAAATTGGAAATCCAGTACCATGAATGCACTTCTCCAACCTCATGGCAGAGCAGAGCCTGGCATTCTCCATTTCTCCACAGTCCCCACCACGTCCCATTGTCTCTGCAAGAAAACCTCCTATCAGAGCCATTTGTCATAACTCTTGCAATATTGTTTTTTTCTTACAGTGGATTAAAGGAGAGAGTAAAATATTTACTTCACCCCTGCTCCTTCCTCACACACTTGGCCCACTTCCTGCATTTACATCACCAGGCTAGGCCTTGCAGGCACCTGGGCTCTCCACCCATGTGCTAGGCTAGGAGCTCCTTGGAAACAAACACGGTGCTTTGTTAATTTCTGTGGCTCCAACAGCAAGCACGGTGCCTTGCTCAGTGTCGGTCCCCCATAAATGCTAGTTGGGATTATGAATCTTGCTTTCAGAAAAGAACCTCTTTCTCAATTCTTCCTTCCCTTTAGTCTTCCATTCATTTACTGAGTTCATCTCTGTGTTCATTTCCCTGAATTGACATTCTCTTTATCTCTGGAATCCTGGATCCTCTTGTAACCCCCAAATAATCAAAACCTCTCTTCAGATTGCCAGTCCAGGTACCTCTGATAAAACCTTGCTCTTAACAATTACATAACAGAAAATCATGAAGAACCATTGATTGGTAGTGATGGTATTATTACTAGTAATAAGTAGTTATCATTTATGGAGAGCTTCCCAGGTACCAAGAACTCTACATACATTTCCTCATTCAAGCTCTACAACAATGCTGTCAGGTGTCGTTTGTCCTCATGTTAGTCAGAACTGTCAGTTACAAGTAGAAAAAAACCGAAACAGCCAACTCTCAAAATGGCGTAAGCCAAAAGGTTCATATAACTGAAAAAATCAGATCTAGCGTTCATTAAACCATTATGTGGCTGACACATCTCTAAGAACTGTCATTCCTTTACTCTTCTAAACAACACTTTGAGAAAAGTACTAATAATATTTCCATTTCACAGATGGCAAAAACTTGAGTACTGAGATTTCAATAATTTTACTACAGTCATCGAGCTAATAAGTCATTCTTTTTTTCCCTTCCCAGCATCTGAACCCTTTTTCTGTTTAAGGGAGTTGCCTACTTTATTAGACTCCTTGGAACCAGAGTTCAGTTCCCACAGAGGGGAGAAAATACCAGATGCTGACTTCCCAGCCTCCTTTGCATCTTGGACATGAGCAGTGGTATAGGCTCTGCCCGCTAGCTTCTGGCTCTAGATAAACCACGTTAACAACTGATGAGTATATTTGCAGACTTTTCTCCAGGTCGACATAAACACACACACACACACACACACACCTATATAGAAATCCTGCTCTTAACTCCCATTTTAAGGGACAATTCATCACTAATGGTGGCATTTTGGGCACCGGAGATTGCTTGTTGGAGGGAGAGAGGGATTTCGCCCATGAGACGGAGCCCTTCTTGGCACGCTCCAAATTGCACCCCTGAGGTGACCTTCAGGGAAGCTCACCCCCTTCCCCCCGGTTCTGAAGTGGGTGTGAGAAGGTGGAGGTGGGCACCCTTGGTCCCTACCATAGGAATAGACCTCGGCCGAGCCCTGGGCTCATGGCTTCCAGGAATGGCTGCTGGCCTACCTGCAAAGCTGAAGGACCTGCAAAGTCACTTCTGCCTGGAGCCCCTGAATCCAGGCCAGCTAGCCCCCCGCCCCCTCGGAGCCCTTCAACACCTCCTGGAAGGACTTCTCTCTTCTTTCTCCTACTCGGCAATTTTAACCAGTCCAAGAACCAGCTGCTCTGCCCTCCGATCAATAGCCGTTGGGAAGGCCTTTAGGATGGTCCCTGGGCTCTCTTCCTGACTCAGTTTCAGTCCAATTAAGCTCCTTCCGCTGTATTAAAGCAGCCTCCTTCAAGAGTACAAGTTGGCACCAACCCACAGCCAGTGGCTAAAACTTGTCTTTTCATCTCAATCTAGCTTTCCAGCAGCATCCTGGAATTTTATTTATTTATTTTTGTTTATTAGCCACCACCGTATTTTAGAAGGTATTTATTTAAAGCTGCCTTTTGTGGCTGGAGTCAGTGCTCAGCAAACTTTTGTTGGAGAAAAGATGAACGAATAAATGATAGAATAGTCAGCGCTTGGTAAATGGTTGATGAAGGAGGACCAAATGACACAGAGCATGTGAAACTTATGTAAATGATGAAAATTGTTAACTGAGCTGGACGAGACTGCAGCCTTATCCACTGGCGCCATCTGCTGGAAATAAGTTAGCACAACAGGTCTGCTTTAGCGAGGCATGGGGACACTTGACTTCTGGAAATGCCAGCGAGGAGCTGTGTTAAAAGGGGTGCTAAGTGCTTTGCATGAATTATTTCTCTTCATTCCCACTGTCACTAGAAGAAACAAATACTATTATCGTTGATTGCATCTCTAGATATTAAAAAGTTGAGGCTTATAGAGACTTAGAGTGGATTTATCATGTCTAAGGCCACATAGCTAGTGGGTATTTGGAATGACTCAAACCCAGTTCTGTCTCACTTCGGAACCTACTGTGGGTTGGGTTCCCCAGGAATCAGATTTCAACATGGAGAGCGCACACAGGAAGTTTATTGCAGTGCTCTCAGGATCACAGGTGGGAGGGAAAACTCAAATTGCAATGCAGCCAGGCATTTTTCTCAGCATCTGTGGCACAGACCACTGCATGTCCCCTAATAAATGTCTTCCTTTCTTTTACAAAGAAACAGTAAATTCCAGGGTCCCCAAACCATCAGGAAAACAGGGCTATAAAATCTGTGCAGTCCCAAAAAAGGTGACACTAATGTCTATTAGAAGTGACCACGAGGATACTGGACAAGGAAGAGCCTCCTTGAGGGAAGAGCCAGGCGTCATGGAGTTTAGAGGACAGGGACACTCCTCCTAGAAAGCAGGACAACTCACCTGCCAGAGAAGGATGTATGTCCTTCTGGACTTGGAATAGTATTTAGAGGTCACCTCCTTTGTGTCTAGGCATATTGACCCCTAAATCAATGCCAATTTTCCCAACCTCCCTATAGCCAAGTATGGCCATGTAACTGAGTTCTGTCCAATAGGACATAAATCAAATAATCACATAGTAGGTTCTAGAAACTTCGCTAAGAGGTAGCTGGGTTGCACCCAATACCTCTACCTTCCCCCCCCCCACCCCCGGTCTCTTCCTCCTTCCTTCTGACTTGGATGCAGTTGTAATGGCGGGAGTCGGAGCAGCCATTTTGGAACATAAGGTGAGCTTGGAAATAGCAGCTATGTACTGTAGAACAAAGCAACAAGATTAAAGGGGCCTAACTCCCAGAAGACTTCATGGCACAAATCACCAGATCAACCCAAACTTCTTATCTACAACTTTTAAAGGATAGGCAAAATAAATGAACTTTTAATTCGTTAAAGTCACTGATATTTGACATCTGTTATTCACAGACAAACCTAACCCTAAATGGTACAGCATCCAATTATGGACAATGCATAATCCCAACATTTAATTAGCAGGAAAGATACTTTTTTTGTTGTTGTTACTGTTAGTAGAAACAATAACACTCTGAAAATGTATGTTTGGAAATGATTCAGTGTGCTGGGGAAAAAAACTAAATTGGAATTAGAAGACCCAAGTTCTAGACCCAGCATTGTTGCTGATGAACTGTGTGACCTTTGCCATATTTCCCTCATTGGTAAAATAAGGGAGTTGGAAAAGGAAGGAATAATAATCAATAAACACAGGAAAAGATGTTTACCTTCACTAGTAATAAGAGAAATGCATATTAAAACAAGCAGATATAATGTCACACCAATCAGATTGGCAAAATCAAAAATCCAGATGGGTATGGGGAAAACAGGTGTTCTCATACAATGCTAGTGGAAATGTAATTTGGCACAACCAATGTCGGGTCCGAGTTGTTTGGCTAAGGACGGTTTCAGCAGTGAGGCACCCAAATGGAAAAAAGCCTTGCAGAGTTTTTGACACGAATGCAGCAACACTTGATTCAGCAGCAGCAGCAGAGGGAGAACCCAGAACACAGAACCCCGTTAAACAATAGTGTCAGGTGCCAGCACGCATGCACTCTAAGAGCAACTCACATAAACAACTTGTTTTCTTGCAGTCCCACCTGGGCCTGGAGGAGTCAGGGCTGCCGGGCTCCAAAGCTTGTAAACATTTCCTGACCCTGGGAGGCCCTGACAGCTGGGCCCCCACAACCAATATAAATTACCCATCTGTGTGAAGCTGGGAAATGTGCATATCTTGTGATCCAGCCGTTCAACTTCTAAACGTACAACCATAGAGACACTCTTGCTAGTGTGTCCCATGAAATACTCCAGCAGCATAGAGAAAACAACCTATAATCTAAATGTGTATTGCAGAAATAAATTAGATAAAACACACTTTGGTATATTCAGGCAATGGAGTATATCACAACAGTAAAAACAAACCACATCTGTGAGTATGAGCATGTTTAGGTCTCAAAAACCCAAAGGTGAGTGATAAAAGCAAAACACACAATGATACATACATACTACAAGATGGCATTCATATAAAAATTTTTAAACCCACAAAACAATTCTATGTTCTATTCATGGATACATACATATATGGTAAAAATATTAAAATATGGTAGGAAAAGATACATAACCAATCCAGGATGGTGGTCCCCCTGGGAGAATGAATGAGGGAAGGATATCAAAGTGATTTCAACTTTATCTACAATGTTCTCTTTCTTTACTATTTAAAATTAGAAGCAAAAATGAAATGTTTTTGTATGTTTATAAACGTTTGAATATATAAATAAAAATGAAAGAATTGGAATAGAATGATCTCTAAGGTCTCATTCAGCCCTAAATTTTTATATACGAAACATACAAAGCATGGCACGAGATAAAGATTGGGGTTCAAATCCCAGGTCAGTTGAAGGTCTTTCAGCTCTCTCTC